GGAGCGTGCAGGAGTGTGCAGGAGCATGGAGGAGCGTGCAGGAGCGTGCAGGAGTGTGCAGGAGTGTGCAGGAGCATGGAGGAGCGTGCAGGAGTGTGCTGCAGCATGCGGGAGCGTGCAGGAGCATGCAGGAGCATGGAGGAGCGTGCAGGAGCGTGCTGCAGCATGCAGGAGCATGCAGGAGTGCGCACTGTGCACGCCTGTCACCCGGCCCCACTCACTGCGACAGCTCCTCGGGTCACTTCAGCTGCTCCATGTCACCGCGGCGAGGAGGAGACACCTCTGCGGACACAAGGGAGAGGACATGAGCCGCCTGGATCAGAAACACCCTGGAAACACCCCCGTTTGGGGCTGAAACACCCCTGCTTCAGTCTGGAAAGTCCCTGCTGTGCCCGGAGGCTCCTGGCTGGCCCCGGAGCTCTGTGTCCCATCAGAGCAGCGTGTCACCGTGTCACTCAGCCTCCTTTCAGGAGACCCGGCCACAACCCTCCGCACTCGCAGAAAGTGGAAGGGATGGAGCTGCAGGTCACACCGGGGACCTTGGGGTCAAATGTGACGAAACCGGGGCCAAACTGCGGGGTTTGGGCGCACGGAGACGCTCCCCCCGGCCAGGGCTTTCCCAACGGCGCTGCCTGTCGCAAGCGGCCCCGCGCGCTCCCGGCCCGGCTTTCGCCACCGGCAGTGTGGCAAGGCCACGGCCGCTCCGCGCGGACACTTTTTCTTTCTGTTTCTTTTGCTGACGGGAAAGAAATGTTTCAGCTGACTGAGGTCCTCACGCGTCCCCAACCTCATCCACTTCGGCTGCAAAACACCCCCCTTGCCGTGCTCCCGAACTTCCCATTTCCCTGGAATTCTCTAGCTCGCCCCTGCTGAGCGCGCTGGAGACACCGCGCGCTGAGACCTCTCCAGCTCATCACCCACGGTGTGAGGTGGCACCAGACGAGGTGGCTTTTGCCCCCCGTGGGCTTCTCCTTCCCAGGAGGAGCACTGGTGACACGGGGGACGCGGAGCTGCGGGGGGGACGCAGAGACGCAGAGGAAGCTGTGGCAGCAGGAGGAGAAGTGGCCGGGGAGCGCGGAGGAAGAGGAGGAGGGGGAGGAAGGTGCCAAGGGGAACCGCGGGGCTGGCAGCATCCCAGGCCTTCGAGGATGGAGAAAACAAGGGCGAGAAGCGCAGCGGGATGTGAGGGGTTGTGCCAGCAGGACGTGGGTCACCCACTGCAGGACGCGTCCCTGTCCCCAGCCCTGTGCAGCCCCAGGGCCCCCTTTTCCTCCCCGCTGGGCAAAGAGGGGGCGAGAGCAGCCGCCCTCCCGCGCGGACCCGGCTCCAACACCCAGAGTCGCTGCTCCCAAGGGGGAAACTGAGGCACGGGGCAGCTGCAAGGTGGGAAGCTGCCCCATGGGGCACATGTGCCCTGGCTGTGTCCCCATCCCAGCACGGGGACTCTCTCCTTTCCCGCGTGGTGCCCAATGCGCTGGACGGCTCCGGGCTCTCCGTACCCGGCCCGGGATGTGCAGCAGCGGGAGCAGGGCACACGTTTGGCCATGGCCCACAGGGGACATCGTCTTTGCCCCCTGCAAAAGCGCCAGGGCCAAGAGCGGCGTCGCCCCGCGCAAGCTCCACGCACACTCGCCGCGCGCAAGCCGGGTTTTTACCCCTGCCATGGGCCCAGCGGTGCCACCTGCCCCGCGATGGCCGGAGCCCCGCGGCCCCGTCCCCGGCGGTGGCCGGGAGAGCAGGATTTCCGTTGGAATAGCAGCAATTGCCGGATCCGAGGGGCTTGCAGGGGAGGAGGAAGCGGAGCGGCCGCTGAGCGCGGCCCCGAATACAATGTCCCGCACGGAGCAGGGTGGGGAGGGAATTGTAAAGCACAGGAAGGCGCCAGTTCCTGTTCCTCCGTGAGGCGCAGCCAGCGCTGGGGACCGGCCACGGGCCAGCGCCCCGGGGTCCCCCCTGCTGCCACCATCGAGCATGAGCCGGA